CAACTGGCATCAGCGCGCGACTGATGACTGTTCGCCTACGACTCGGAAGAGGTAAGTTTGCTACTTTTATAAGCACGTACGGTCCGACCATGTGTTATCCTGATGACACGCGTGATCAATTCTACACTGAGCTATCCTCCGTGATACGGTCTGTGCCGAGGAGCGACCGACTATTTCTGCTGGGTGATTTCAACGCGCGCGTTGGGCGTGATGCATCAGCGTGGACAGATGTTATCGGTCCGCATGGCATTGGTTCAGCGAATGCGAACGGTGACAGGCTGCTCTCACTGTGTGCCACTCACGGCCTGACGATCACGAACACTCGGTTTGCACTGAGTGCGAGTGATATAGCAACTTGGACGCACCCACGGAGTGGTCACGCTCACCTGCTCGACTATGTCATCGTACGTCAGCGTGATATGCGTGAAGTGCGCATGACACGTGTACTGCGTGGAGCTGAGTGTGGCACTGATCACAAGTTGGTGCGGACCAAACTGTACATATATTTTCGTAAATCTATGTATTGCACTCCCGCCGTGAATCGGCGTAAATTTAACATTCTCTCCCTCGGTACTGTGGCGAAACGTACTGAGCTGGAGAAGGCGATGGCTGCACGCCTGTGTGATGTGGACTGCATAGCCACAGTGGGCGACCTGTGGCACCACATTCGCGACCAGGTGACAGCTGCTGCCGAGGAGACCATCGGGCGCGCAAACTGTAAGCGGCCTGATTGGTTTGATTAGAACTGCGGGACGATTGGCGCATTGGTGTCGGAGAAGATTGCGGCATTTGCTGCACATGTAGCAGACCCCAGTGACTTGGGGAAGAGTAGTTTCGCAAAATACAACGGCGATTGACCCGAGAGCTCCATCGCATTAAAAACGCATGGTGGACGGAGAAGGCGATACAGATGTAATGCTACGCCGTACGCCGCCAACACAAGGAATTTTTTGACTCCTTGAAGCCGGTGTATGGACTGAGATTGGAGCCGCTGAGGACGCTGATCGATGGTAGCTCAGGCGCTACATGCACACAGACTGCAGACATAATGCAGATCTGGCGAAAACACTTTGACTGTCTCTTGAACAACCGTTCAGAGATCGACTGGCCTACATTGAACGGCCTGAAGCAGCACGATGTGAAGACGAGTCCGGCGGACACGCCGACACTGGATGAGACGCAGAGAGCACTTGCTCAGCTGCGAAACGGCAAGTGTGCCGGAGGCGACGGGATCCCGCCTGAAGTATTGAAACACGGCGGACCCGCGTTGTTGACTGCGCTGCACCACTTGGTGCAACGCGTATGGATTGAGGAGGAGGTGCCTCCTGAGCTGAAGGATGCCCTTGTGCTACCACTGTACAAGGGCAAAGGAGCAAGCAATGTTGCACGAATTATCGTGGCATCAACTTGCTGAGTTGTGTGGGCAAGGTGATTGCCCGAATCCTGCTCAACCGCCTCGTCAGTCAGGTTGTGGAACCGAACGTGGCGGAAGAGCAATGTGGATTCCGTTCGGGTCGCAGCACTATAGATATGGTGTTTGCGGCTCGTCAGTTGCAGGAGAAGTGCAGAGAACGACACCAGCCATTGTACTCGCTTTTTGTTGATTTCACCAAAGCATTCGATACAGTGAACTGCAAAACACTGTGGCTGGTGTTGGGTAAGTTTGATTGTCCGAGTAAGCTTGTAAACTTAAGTGTATGTCTGCACAGTGGTATGCGAGCAAGGGTGCAGCTGAGTGGAGAAACTACGGATGACTTTGCATTTGTCACTGGTGTGAAGCAAGGCTAATCTTAGATACTGCCCGGTTTAATATATATCTTCATGCAACGATGTCGCATGTGTTTGATGCGGCTTGTGCCTACTGTGTTCGTGTGGAACACCGTATTGATGGTGGGTTGCTGAACATCCGTGGTTTCAAGGCAAGAACCTAGTCGGTGAAACAACTATCCGTAGATTGCCATTTGCGGATGATTGCGCGTTGTTTGCACACAGCGCGGATGAGTTGCAGCACATGACTAGTGCTCTGGCTTCGACAGCGACCAATTTCGGGCCCACCATTAACACAAGAAAAACTGTCTTACTCTTTCAGCCTTCACCGGAGGTGCAATCTGCAATGTTGCCGCAAAACAGCACTGGTGCAGAAGTATTGGAAACCATCTCCCGCTTCAGCTACCTTGGGAGTGTGATGTCGACTGATCAGCAGATACACAGTGAGCTGCGTATCCGCGTGTCGAAGGCAGCGGCGGCATTTGGGAAGCTAGAGTACCGCGTGTGGAACAACTACCAGGTTACTGTTGACACGAAGCTGATGGTGTACAAATCCATGGTACCGTCCGTTCTTCTATACGGCAGCGAAGCGTGGACGATGTACAGGCGAGATGTGAGACATCTCGAGCGGTTCCATCAACAGTGTCTGCGACGGATTCTGTGCATCTCTTGGTGCGACACGGAAGTGCTGCGTCAAAGTGGAATGTATGCAATGGACTGCATACTTTTGCTGAGACACCTAAGGTGGCTCGGTCATGTTTGTCGTATGGATTCGACGTGGATACCGAAGCAGCTGTTATATGGTCCGCTGAGTGTAGGGAAACGGTATAGGGGGAAATCGAGGCTTCATTACCAGCACATGATCAAAGTGGGCCAATCAGATTCTAAATATGATTTCAGATGTTAGGAATCGAAAACGGTTAATCGTGTGCATAGCGCAATCTAATCACGAAGGCAGTTGCCGAGGTGCAAGAGAAAGACCTCGTACACGCAAAGAACAAACGGTAGTTGAGAAAGCGACAGGCATCGATGGTGTATATTCCATTGACACCGAGCGCGTGGTGTCATATCACATGTGGTGGCAAGTGCCTGAGTCAGGCAGGCCTAGGGAGCCACGAGCGAGGCCACTCAAGACCAGCATTGAAGGGACGACAGGTCCAGCTCAGAAAGTAAGCAGAACTGGGGCAGCGTTGGAAAGTACGCTGCATTCGAATTACTAACCGCGTGCATGCATGCTGAATAACTTTATTTCAGGTGGTAAGTTTGCTATCATGTCTTGATGACTTTTTATCTCATTTTAACATCTAACAATAATATTTTATTAACTTGCACAAGTACCCCAAGTTAATTGTGACTATGCTCTTTTACTTTTTCCCGTTTGTGGCACTTTTCTTTTAAATATCTCTACCTGATAGTTGGAACTTACCGCGGATTTGTTGATAAACAATTTATTCCACATGTTCGTTTAGCGCAGTGTTATGTCAGCATATCCATATGCTATATTCTATATTATTTGTTATTTTCATTTCAAGTGATTGGCTGTTGTTTGATAGCCCCGGTGTGGCTGCGCTTGATGTGCATGTTGACAAGATGCCTATCTGTCTATTACCCACTACCTCGTCCATCTGGCTCCAGGAGACATCTGGCCGTTGCTGGAGGGGACGGGGTGCACAGTCCTTGTGGCAGTGTTAGGCTCGAAAAGTGGTTCCCTGCACTCAGTATTGAGTGGACCATGGTCCAACCACCGCATTGTGCGCGCATGATTCCCAGATACAGCATGCTTGTGTTTGCCAGTGAAGGAGTGTGGGCCGGCTCCGTTGATGAAACGTGGCTCCCATCCACATGCCTCCCAGTCTTATTCCTTCGGGTTTACACTGGATATGGGGTGCGTGGATGGAGCTGTGGGTGGTGCAGCGCAAGCCACCCATGGTGCCTCAATAGGCGCAGACGTCGTGTGGCTGGCCACAGTGATAGGCAAATCCAAAACCGGATGCCGCCAACCATATAGACGACAGAGCTCATTGTGCGCTGTGGTTTGTGGTGGCTAGATCCTGACAGATGGTCTAACCACTGCTGTAATGTTGCGCCAAGGGCTCATGTCCTCGACGCCTCTTGGTGGCGACCGCTTGGCGGGAGTTGGGTTACGCTCTTCTCCAAACTAAGAGCCAGGACACACCAATACACATGAGTCCGTGAGCTGACCATATGCTGGACCCAGTGCCTTGCGTGTGTACATTTAATCCAAGGCTTTGGCTGAGGACCCGAGAGAGAGAGAGAAAGCGGCAAAGCGCTTGGAGTGCTTGAACAAAGCGTTTCCAGAAACAAGACGGGAACTGGATAACGGCACGGCGTGCATGCAATTGGAAATGTCGAGACGTACAAACCTGGATAATCTGCGCTTCCAACATGAATTGCTATCAATTCGTCCCAAATACCCAGTAAACATGGCTTCAAAATAACGCATATGCAAGCTAACGACATCTCAATACGCGGTTTCTTAAGGGAGCCGACCAACCGAAATTTAGGCACAGTGTTGAGGTAAACGGTAGCTCAGTAAGGTGCAAGAGTGAATGGGTTTCATGCTTTATCAAGCAAGTCAACGCTCCAACTATGTGAGATTAATAATAGTACAACGATACGGTGTCACATGTAACAACCACAAGCAAATTTGAGCTAGTGTTCACACGGTGTAAGGCCAACGACAATATGACATGAGACGTCCTATGTAAAAATTGTATCACGTCTCTTGTTCCATAAAGTTTATCAAGCAAATGCTGGTACAGCTGGTAGGCCGGATGAACGGACGTCGCGAGCTAGATTTGGCCCGCCACCAGTAGTTTAGTGACCCTTACTCCAGAGCATTTCTTGGCTCCGCATTCGTGTCAAATAAGTAGACTGCTGTGAATTAGACTTGGAAGCAATTTCCAATCCAACAAATGGCTACACTGACGACAATCCGTTCACCAGGTAGAGTAATTCCGCCACAGACGTTTCGCCACAGTCAATGTGACATTTACTTGAAGGCTCGGGCATAACCGAGAACAGATGTCAGTGGCTTCTATGCTGATACGTGCGTTTCATGCGTAACCACTAGTGATCCATAAGTATTGGTTGCCACTGGTGTCCAATGCCAGCTCAGATATTAAACCAAGTTTCCAAGCTGTGGCTTTTTTGGTCTGTGCAAATGGCATTCGGAAACTGAAGCACATACAAGCAAGAGAAATGGATTTGCGTTAGGCTGGTACCTCGTGCAGACGTTTCGCCACCACGCAACCGCAAGAGGACATATGCGAGCTAAAAGACTGGGAGGTAGCCAGTGCCTAAAAAGTTTCGAACATGATAGCCAGTGGACTATAAAAAAGACAATAAAACCACGGTATTACCAGTCGGTGAAGCTATGTGAGGCAGAGTTTATTGCAGAGGTAAACCGAAAGAGAAGTGATGAAAACGGGAAGAGACACTGACAAAACCGACCTAAGCATTTTTCGTGAAAAGAGATGAGGATGCAATGAGACAACAAAGCACGGTTTATACAGACACCTGATCCATCGCCCATCCACCAAACCAGCTGTCAAAGAGACGCGTGGCGGATCGCAACCGAGCACCTACAAAGCAACACTATCTTATAAGCTAAAAACAAACAGTAGCGCGTTCACATGAACCGAATTTTTAGGAGGATAATTGGCATCATAACTAGCATCGCATGCAATGAACTTACCTGAAGTCCCACAGTGGAGCGTAGCAGAAACCGCCGATAATCCCACACACCGTACTGCATCCGGTATAAATCCGCCAGCTGGTCGCATAGCTCAAATTCCGTGTCCAGCAAAGAACCAATTTCCGGATAGCAATTCCGAACAATCCACTGTCTTCACAATGAACACAGACGAAGAGGAATGGTCCACTTACCTATGGAACAAGGTTTCATTCGACCGCGGATGAGTACGTAAGATGAGGCGAGTGAGCCACAACTCACGATCCGCTGTGATACGATTGGACAAAACAGCGCGGCGGCGATAGTTCCAAAATGTGGCGGTGTTCGGACTGATTAGCAGTAAAAACAGTAGGGCAACTAGGAAGATAGGGAACAGTAAGGGGGCTTTCATTAAGAGAGTATAATGAAACGAAGGGTACAAGGTGTAAATCATAAGTCATGAAAGGCGTCGAAAATTCGAACAGCAGTGAGCAAAAGAGTTACTATGGTTGGGGATTCACGCCTAATGAGATTTGAACACATCACATCATTATAAATACAAGCTAGCAGAGGATGAGAAACAAACTTTAGCTAATATGTCGAGATGTAAAATTCTGACACCAAACAGTACATGATACAAAAAGTAACAAAAATTAGTAACATAATGCTAAGTATCATATTATGTGTCGTGTGTGAAATGATGATTGGAGAAAGAAGCGAAACGGAAGAGGTAAAGGCAAGAAAAGTCGCATCACAAAAGCCATGGACGACGGTTCTCCATCAAGTCAACAAGTGTGGCCAAGCAAACCTGTTCAGCGTCTTTGGGACTCCGGTCTTGTAGTCGAGAGGCACCGACTGGTGTCAACTTCGAACTGAGAGTAATCATTTTTCTTGACCAAGTCATCGCTTGGTATCCCGTCCACCCACACCCCGGCGCGCAAACAACTCATTTCGCAGAAGTCAGTGTGCTGCCATGCGCCATGGTGCTGAGCGGTTCACTCGTACTTCCTACAAAATTACACAACAGTGAAAACGCTCACTCCTCACGCGGTGCTGCCACCAGACATGAGCCAAACTGCGAAGACATCTATGGTCTGCCGATTTGATAGGCTAAGTTTTGCAACCGTACAGAAGGGTTGAAGAGACGGCTGCATTATAAACCCTGCCCTTCAGGGCGAGAGTGATGTCGCGCCGACGTCACAGGTGGAGGACACTGGCAAAAGCACCTCAGGTTTTGCTGTGCGGTTTGCGACCTCATCTTCTATTCCACCGGCGCCAATATAGCTGCCAAGGTACTCATCACCAAGGACCAGCGAGAGCTGGGTCACTGCGCCTTTTGGAGAAAGATTTTGTATTTCGATAGTGCAAAGCACAGACCGAAACGATTGACAACCAGTGCTAATCTATCCAGTGCGGTTTAAAACATAAGGGAGATAGTACTGATTAGAGCAATGTAGTCGGCGTACTATAAGTCGAAAAGTCCCTCACCTGGAAGGAGCTCCACATATTCTAATTCGTATTCAGTGGATGCCGTTTCCGTGGCTTCGTCAATGGCGAAGTTAAAGAGGAAAGACGACAGCGGGCAACCTTGTCTCGCACCGCTGGTGATATTAAAGGGCGACGACCATTTGCTATAAGCCCTCACTCTACCCGATCCATGCATGTACGGTACGTTGACAATGTTTGCAAGTCTATCGGGCACACATTTCTTGTGAATACAATCGCAGAAAGCACAGCAATGAAACGAATTGAAGGTACTTTTGATGTCGAGAAACGACTATAGTGGGCCGCCAGTAAATTTGGCGGCGTTCCAACAAATGACGAAAGAGGAAGATGTGGTCAACACAAACTCGATTTCGACAAAACCCAGCTTGCGCCTCGCGAATCTGACGTCCACGGATGCCAGCCAGTTTATGGAAAATGACAGAGGGGAGTAACTAAGGGGCAATTGGGATAAGACGGATCCCTTTGTGATTGCCGCATTCCGAAAATGAGATTCCCTTGAAAACTGGGACTAGGAAGTAGTAACTTCAGTCTGCTGCACTAAGTTTTACTAGTAGGTTGTGCAAATCATACGCCAGGTTACCCGAATTTGAAGAGGCTGTAAAAACTCCTACGGCTTTAATGAATTGCAAAAAAAAGATCTCACACTCGATTTCTGCGTGTGAGGGTGGGCTAAAGAAGATGGCCAGGGAGTAGGACGGTCAGTGGCCGTTGAAGATACTAACTCTGCCTCTAAAAGCGTTCGGCCCAACGATACAAGCGTGTTGACAAGTTATGTACTGACTGTCAACTCGGGTCAGATATAAAATCTCACTAAACCAGGTCTTCTGCTGCCCGCGTCCCGTATCAGACCGAATATTTTACGATGGTTACTAAGAACAGTGGCCGTTTCCAAGTCCAACGAACGATGATATCAGGCGTCGCAGACTCTCTTCAGGCTAGCACGCGGTTTGGATTTCAGAACTTCGCGAATATTATTGTGTTCATTTCCAACCGGGACACGTTGGCGAGCATCCAGAAGTTTCTATAGACTGTGTAAAATCCCAATGTCCAGGTTGGCAGTTTGTTTTATCCCATGAAGATATGCTCGCTGCCAATAACATTTGGGGGGAAGTGACCAGTGATTCTTAATTGTGTTCAGTGAGTTCTTCCGCAAACCGAATCATAGCATCCTTTGCTTCGCCGGTTTACAAGTACCTATGCGCATACAGCGGCGTTGAGGAAGTCCGCTGAAACGCACCAGAAAGTCGGCACAAGTAGAAGTGCGTTGTCGGTATCTACGCTCGTGCTCCACATTGAGCGATAGGTCTGGACACAACCTCTCCAGTGGTAAATGATCGCGATGTGGTCGGTCTGCGTCTACAGCTGATCCGAGGCGGGTGGGCGCCACGTCACTCTTCTGCGGGTGTTATGTCGAAATGTACCGCTCGTGAGAAATAGACGAGCATCTTTACAAGGATGCAGCAACCGCTCATGGTCATCATTACGGGAGCCTACATCACGTGGGCCATCCAGAAGAAGCTTATCAGTCGACAGTTTTCTAACTGGCGTTCAGATAGCCAGCAAGCACCACAGTATTTGTACTTTTTCTGTAACGAATGGCCTCGCTCAGTTGGTGATAGAAGTCATCTGTCACCAAAACAGCGCTAATGATTGTGGGGCATATGCAGCAGTGGTAAACAAACCTGTCCTCACACGACGTGGAACCATTGAACGAGCCAACCAATCTGACGGCGCACATCCGATTGCTGACTGAGATCCAATAGAGCAGAGCAATTTCGGTCTGGGGGCTCAAAACAACGCCCACACCGGTATGACCGGAGTTTGAAGTTGCGTCAGGTTCGGAAAAACTCAATGAGAGATTGCACCAGTGTCGCATATGGGGGATCATAGAATAAGCATGAATCTTGCATGTGGGTTTCCGATAAACAGTAGATGCCGATCGATGGGGTCTCCAGTGTTCGGACAAGTGCTGCATGCTAGCAAATCTGCAAAACATGCGCACATTGAGGCACACAGGATTGGGGACTCGAAAGCATGACAAATGAACTGACGTCCGATAGGAAATGTCGACTGGATCAGAGTGAATGCCCATGTGATAGTGTGTGAGAAGACAGGTGACCATTGAAGCAAGATGAGGGAGGGTCGAGAATTGGAAGGTTGAAAGCAAGGGGATAAAAGTGAAGTTGGAAAAGAACGATAATTATGAAAAGATGCAAGATGGGAATAAGAAGACGGGAAGGTTTGAGCAGCAGCATCCATATCCTTATCCACAATGCTCGATGCAGCAGATAGAGTGCCGCTGATTATCCTCTGCGATGACCAGAGCATCAGAAAATGATTAGAAGAAAAATTCAATTAATTCCGTTGGCAGGATATTGTCAAATTGTCTAGGCCGAGAAAGGAGATGAGTAGGGTTTTCAACCATACCCCTGACAGAATGGCAACAGCGTTTGGGCAATGAGCCACAGGGAGTCCGTTTTAAGGTGTAAAGAGCCACCCTCAAAGTAACCACCAATATGGAGGATCAGGAGACTGTTCGTTTGGCCTGTAACCATTGACCGACCTGATGTGCGCTCTGAAGTTGCAAAAAGCATCAACAAGCATAGCTTAATGGACTAATGACGCACGCAAACCATTGCGCCACGTTAATGTATGATCACAGGAGTAAGAGAGCTGATAAAATGAAGACCGGGATATCAGGCGCCGCAATTGGCTGAGATATTTGTAGTGAATTAGCAAATAAACATTTCCCCCTAGTAGCAAGCGAGGTCAGTGCGAACTGCAAGCGTGATCTCCGTATCTAAATATACTAAAAAAGACGGAGAACCTTGGGGATTGGCAAAGCCCGTGACACGATGACAGCCAATGTTATTGGAAACAGCCGACAGTTGTTTCAGCTCAAGTAGAATACGGGTCCGAGAAAGCTATCAGTTAGCGGGACAATAGGTGAGAGAGATGGACCGTTAATCTATTCACCGCATCGTCAACTAGCCCGTTGGGAAGAATACTTTAGAGCAGTTCAGCAGGCCTGGTGCAACATTGCCGCCTACTGAATCAACTGACCCAAGGTGGGAAGTTGATGTCACATCCACCACTTTCAGTTTTCAGTGTTGAAACGAAACAAGGCTCCAGGGTAAAACGACTTTCCTCCATCTTTGAGCAAAGATGGTAGTGACTCTGCTGGCTGGACTCCCTACTCTGTGTAAGAAGATTTGGAACATTGAAGCGCCTTCAAACTGGGGACTATCCACTATCATGTCCTGCTTCAAGAACGGGCAGTGCGCTTTGTGCGAAAATCATCGAAGCATCAGCCTTATTTGCATCGTCACTAGACTGCTCACGGATAACTTGCTTCGGCAACTTACTGGTCCTTGTGAGAACCGAATCAATGAAACCCAGGCTGACTTCCGCCCTGGTCGTGGGTGCTTCGACGACTTATTTACTCTTCGCCAAGTTTTAGAGCAGACATACAGAGGACCGACTACGATGGTTTCCCTTGATTTGAAAGCCATGTTCGACTCTGTTGATCACGCCAGATAATGGTGCGCCCAATTCA